CTCGGTTCGAAGCTTCTACCGAAGATTGGTGGGCGAAATGGGGGGCCAACCGGGGTTGGATTGGGCTTGCATGTGGAAGTTTAATCTTCCACCTAAAATTAAAATATTTTTTAGCAGGTTTGTAGCGGCTGTCTCCCCTCGAGATTTAATTTGCAGGTATGAAGAATGGATTGCTCGGGAAGCTGCGGACTTTGTGGAGAGGCACCAGAGACGCTGGAGCATTTATTCAGATCGTGTGCTGTTGCTAGGGATACCTTGACCGAGCTTCATTGACAATGGAGATCTATGGAGGACGACTCTTTTCTGGATCACATCTGCGAGGAATTTCGGAGCAAGAAGCAACAAGACATGAAGCGTCTGGTATGGGGCTGCTGGACACTGTGGAATGAGAGGAATTGCAGGGTTTGTCAGGGTTCTTCGGCAAGGCAGACAGTTCATCGGGCTCGTGCTTTGATCGAAAGGTGGCGGCAGGCTCAGCTGCAGGTCGCTCAGGGAAGATGGCAGTACCTAGTTCAGCAAGGTCGGGCAAACTGGAGCAGACCTTTACAAGGGGGCTGGAAATTGAATGTCGACGCGGCAACGCGAGCAAACATGTGCGGCTTGGGATGGTGCTTGAGGAATTCTGCGGGCCAGTTCGCTGCTGATGTTTCAAGACCATGGCCGGGAAAAATGACATCCCTGGGAGCCAAGCTTGTTGGAATACGTGAGGCATTGAGTTGGTTGAAAGATTTAGGTGATATCCCGGTTGAAATAGAATCTTATGCAGCAAGAACAATTTCTGAAATTCTTAGGGCATGTTTACTAACAGAGATATTTTCCTATTTTCTACTTCTGTTTTTCGTTCTCCAATTTTCTGTTTTATTTTTTAGTTTTTCTATCTCCAATTTTCTGTTTCTATTTTTTAGTTTTCCATTTTCAAATCTGAAAATATGTTCATCAATTTTTTCACTCAGTTCTCCAATTCCACACTCTTCACCCCTACCCTTACCACGATCTTACACTCTACCCATACTCCCCCACAACCCTTCATACCCACCCATACCTACTCATAGGGGTCGGGGTAGGGAAGTTATGGGTGGGGGTGGGGTAAGGGGTATGGTCGGGGTGGGGTGATAAGGTCTAGGGTAGGGGGTTGGGTGGGGGTAGTTGGTGGGTTAGAGTCATTGTTAGGGGTAAGGGTGGGGTAGTGGGTAGGGTTTGGGGTAAGGTAGAGGTATGATATGGAGTTGGGATAGGATGGCGGTAGGGTGGAGCCGGGACCAGGGTGGGGCTGAGGTAGGGAAGGGGTAGGGGGTGGGGGGGTAGGATGGCGGTAAGGGTGGGGGTAGTGGGTAGGGTTGGGGTAAGGTAGGTGTAGTGGGATATGATGACGATAGGGTGGGCCCAGGATCTGGGTGGGGCTGAGGTAGGGGAAGGGTAGGGTGGGGGGTAGGATGGTGGTCGGATGGCGGACGGGTGGGGGTAGGATGGCGGTACGAGGGTGGGGGTAGGATGGCGGTGGGGTGGGGTCGAGGTAGTGGCATGTGGTAAGGGGTAAGGGGTAATATACGGGTGGGGGGTAGGGTAGGGTGGGTCGGAGTGGGGCCGAGGTGGTAGGAGGTGGCGGTAGGGTAGGGTGGATCGGGGTGGGACCGGGGTGGGGTATGGTCATTATAGGAAAAAATGGGTATGCGAGGTGGGGTTGGGTGGGTAAGGTAGGGTAGGGTAGGGGTAAGGGGTAAGGTACGAGGATGGAGGTACCAGAATGGAATCGACATCGGAGCGGGACAGGACCCACCACTAAGTGTAATTATGCAAATTCACTGCAGTGACACTGTAGCATCTGCGTTTTCCAAATTTGTAAAACTAATAAAAGTCACCTCTCCAAATCATTAAGGAAAAGAGAGACATGTCTCATTTTTTCCGTTTTGGAAAACGATTTGGTAAACGCGTTTTTCTTTTGTTCCTTTCTCCAATTTTCCAGGAATTTCTTTGGTAAACACGTTTCCTGTTTTCTGTTTTCCAGTTTTCCAGTTTTCTGGAAAACTGGAAAATATCTCTGTTAGTAAACAGGCCCTTAATATTTCGAGTTGTTCGTTGGTGGGACTGTTGAGGGACGACATTAGAGACTTGGCGAAATCGTTTTCGAGTATTTCATTTAATCATATTAGGCGTTCAGCGAATAAGTCTGCCCATTTGTTAGCTAAGGCGGCTTGTTCTTTGCCTGAATCGCAGTCTTGGATTGATTTTCCTCCATCTTTTATTGTATCAGCATTAGCCAACGATTTGATTAATGATAATTAAGTCATTTTCTTTCAAAAAAATGAGCAACTGCACCTGATAATACAAGCGGGCTCGCGAGCAGACATATACTACCTCCGTCCCTCTATGTTTGGGACAAGAGAAAGTGACACGGTTATTAATAAAAGTGGGTTTATGTGATTGATATTGAATTGATAAAGTAAGAATAAAGTAGGAATGATTTAGAACCACACAAACTTTACCAAATAAGGTATGGGACAATTTTAGTGGGACGGACCAAAATGGTAAAATGGGACAATGATAGTAGGACGGAGGGAGTATATCAATAATTCATGTCATCTTTTTTATATTACTATTATTATACTACGTATTTAAATTATCCAATTACTACGTATAATACTCTCTCTATATATATCCGTATTTAGCTAGCTATCTCTTTTTAATCTCATCTTTCATACCTTTTCATCTTTGTTTCCTATTTCTTACATTTTTATATACGTCCTATTCACTCCCCCTAACATTTCATGTTTAACTTTCCTGTAAAAGCATGATGTGATAAACATTTGAATTTTGAATACAAAGTGAGTACATTCATGAATATTATATATTACTCCATTTGTCCAACAAACAAGTTACCCGTTTGACTTACACATGTTTATGAAAGATAAAGTTTGTTTATGAAAGATAAAGTTTTCTTTGAATTTTTAATTTTACTCCTAATTTATGTCCAATTAATCAAACAAAAAGTAAGTAAAAAGAAAAGGTGTTATGAAACTTCGTCTAAAAATCTTGTATGAGAACGAAACTTTATTTTGGGGGACTCAAATTGAAAATAAAGCTTAATTTTAAGTTTTAACAAGCTTGTAGTAAGAAGGTTGTAGTAAGAGATCGAGGAATATATATATTTAATAAAGAGGCGGATCCAAAAACTAAAGCTGAATTGAAGATCATAGTGTTGATAGTAGACATAAATTAAAAGCCGATAGGTAAATGAAAAAACATTAAAAATTAGGTTACACTGGACTAATTGAAATAAGTTAGAATTGAAATAAATTAGACTTAAGTTACACTGGACTAATTGAAATAAGTTAGAATTAAATGTTAGCTGAGGAAATATATATCTCTTTCTCCATCTATAATGTATACACGTACACGTGAAATCTCCTTTTAAATCGAGACGCAAAATGTTGTTCGTCATTTTGCTTTGACTTACGTTCTTGTCATGTAATAGGAAGATTGCTTGTACGAACTATAATGCACACTACACATAATACATAGATCAGTTGTTTATCGTTTATAGAATTGGCAGTTCGGCACAATCTAAAAAATTAGGCATTAGAATACTACGTATACATAGACACATAATATAACAAATTTTGTTTCTTAAATTATAAAACAAAATCTAATACTCCGTATGGAGTATGTACCATTAAATATTTTCGTCAACGAAATACAAAAAGAAGATATCAAAGAAACAAATTAATTTAGACGCTAACAAAATTGAAAAACAAGATGAAACAAAATTTAAGGGAGAACGCAAACGGACTAGAAAATATTAGATTTATTCGGCGTTTTGGGCAAATCAGACCTGGGTTCGCATTGGTTACAATGAGTCTAGATAGAGGATGAGGGTAGACGACAAACATGTGTATGATTGGTTGATTAATTTTATAATTTTAAAAAAAGTAGCTTAAAATCACATTTTTTTATGAAGTGATAAATGCTAAACAATTTAATTACATCTTCTCACACTTAATATTAATACAGACTTGTTGATTTACAACTTAAAACAGTTATAATTATATATTTCATCCGTCTCTTATATTTTTTCCTCTTTTACAGAGTAATAAACTATATAAATCGTCTAATTATTATTTTTATTTTAAAAAGTTTTCTTATAGTGTCATAGTGTGAACTTCATCCAAATGTCTCCTAAAGTTTATGAGATTTCTTTATTTAAGTTCATCACGTGAGGTATGAGAACAAAAGATTATATGGAGTATTAGTGATAAAGAAAATCCTGATATACGAGTAAAAACGTTTTAGAATTCCAAAATACAATTGTCATGTTTTTATTCCTAAACAAGAGTAATTACTATCAAGTTTTAAAAAATATTGTCATGTTTAAAGCCTGACATTGTCAAAACATGACGGTAATTATTTCTATTTCGGGAACAAAAGGATAATTTTATTTTTTGTTTTGTTAATTATTTTAATTTATACTGTCAGCTGCCACTACAAGAAAAGTGCACATAGATTGCACATGGACCACAATTTTTTTGCGATGGCAGCATAACTGTCGTTAAAAACACCATTAACCACACATTTTTATTTACCACACACAAAAATGTGGTAAAAGCTTAGAGACGACAGTTTTTAACCGTTGCCAATGTTTTTACCACAGCTTTTGTGCCGACGCACGTAAAACTGTCGCAAAACTGTCGTAAAAACATAAGGAGGAACATTTACGATAGTTTTGCGTCAGTTTTACGTGCATCGCCACAACAGCCGTGGTAAAACATTTGTCACGGTTAAAAACTGTCGTCTCTAACCTTTTACCACACTTTTGTATGTGGTAAATGAAAAATGTGTGGTTAATGGTGTTTTTAACGACAGTTATGCGCACATCGCAAAAAAAAAAATTGATCTATGTGCGATCTATGTGCACTTTTCTTGTAGTGTATGACTGCCTTCCTATTTATAGCTAAGGGGAGCTAGGTAGTAGAGGAGTATATAACTCTGTTCTTTTTCTGCTGCTAAGATTCAAACCAGAGATAGCTAGGGCTTGAGAGAGAGGAATCTGCGAATGAAACCAAATAATCTTTCTTAATATGGTTATTTCCATGATTCTAGTTTAGATTGAACTGACTGCGTTTTGGAGTTTGCTGTTTTCAGCAAAAAAAAATTGCAAGCTACAGATCCTAAAGTGTTTGTGAAAAATGATGGGAGCTGATAATCATGCACTATCTTCTCTCACTTCATCTTCTTCGTCCATCCGAGCCAGTTACAGCCAAAACCCTAACCCTACCCCAAATCCAGCCAAGAGAAAGAGAAACCTCCCTGGAAACCCAGATCCGGACGCAGAAGTGATAGCTATGTCCCCAAAGTCTCTAATGGCGACCAACCGCTTCATATGCGAAATCTGCAACAAGGGTTTCCAGAGAGACCAGAACCTGCAGCTTCACAGGAGAGGGCACAACCTGCCATGGAAGCTGAAGCAGAGAAGCAGCAAGGAGGTGGTGAGGAAGAAGGTTTACATATGCCCAGAGAAGAGCTGTGTGCACCACCACCCTTCTAGGGCTCTTGGAGACTTGACTGGAATCAAGAAACACTTTAGTAGAAAACATGGGGAGAAGAAGTGGAAATGTGATAAATGCTCCAAGAAATATGCTGTTCATTCTGACTGGAAAGCCCATAATAAGATTTGTGGTACTAGAGAGTATAAATGTGACTGTGGAACTCTCTTCTCTAGGTAAGCATACATATATTTACTCAAATTAATTAATTTCACTGCAAGAGAATTATGGGATTAGCTCGGATTTGACACAGATTTACCGATGATTTCGTGTCAAATGGCTCGCATCAAAGTGTTTTTTACACGAATTTGGTATATCCCCGCTAAATATTTCTATCGATCGGGCATATTTTTGTAGTGTTCCCATGATTCTTGAATTCATTAATGACATAGATCTTGGCAGGTTGCTGTATTTAATCATGAATGGTTTGTGACATTAATGCAAATGATGATTGAATTTATTGGCTAACATTCTGTATGGGAATATATAATGCAGAAAGGATAGTTTTATCACACACAGAGCTTTTTGTGATGCTTTAGCAGAAGAAAGTTCAAGATTCACTTCACTTAGATCCCCCAATCAGACCTGTCGACAGGATCTATTCAACAGCTCCGCCGCCGGCGGTGGCTTATTTTCATCAGCCCTCCAACATTATCAATTTGAGTCTCATTTCTCTAGGATGCCACCGCCTTGTCACGACTTAATGGGCGGTGGCGGCGGCGGCGGTGGTTGCTTTGACTCCGCGAGTCAACTCACTCTAGATGGTCAAAAACCTAGGTATCCCCTGTGGCCGGACTCTGCCGCCGCCTATTCTCGTGACGGTCAACATCATATGACACTTCCTCAAGAGATGTTTTTGTGGAGTGGCGGCAATCCGACGTCGCCATCCAACGCGTCGACATTGCCGCCAGATCCAAGGGAAGAAGATCCCATGCGGGGCGGGATGACGACCCCGTCTTTGTTTTACAACCAAAGCCGAGAAGCGCCGCCGCCGGTGACGGGATTGTATACGTCGGCGACGGCGCTGCTCCAGAAGGCGGCTCAAATGGGGTCAAGGAGGAGCAAGGAGTCAGCAGCATTGTTTGGGATGAATGAATTTGGGCTGACGTGTCCGGCCACCATGTCTGCTGGTTCTAGCATTCACGGCTGCTTCAACGACATTGCCGGAAGTACCGCCGGCAAAGCTCTTCATCAAGATCATCAAAACATTCTTGGGAACTCGAGAATGGCGGTTAATGGTGAAGGTAACAACAACAGCAATGGCTTGTGGATGATGATTAAAAACAAGGGAAACCAACATGATCAAATAGTGGATTTGAGTTTGACTAGGGATTTTCTTGGCGTAGGTGGGATTCACGAAAGTAAGCACCTTTTCGGACAGAATGATTTAGCCGAATTGAGTTTTTGTTAATGGATCTCACTTTTTAATTTGTTTTTGTGATCATAATAATGAAGTGTCACACTAATGTCATCTATACGAGTGTAGGTACTTGGATACTTAATTTGTTATTTAAATTTCCTATGATAATTTATAGAGGCTAGCTAGGATGGTGTAATGCGACGGTTACATCAGGGGCGGACCGTAGTAGAAATCCAGTGGCAGTCGCCCCCCCCCCCCCCAACAAATTTTTTTTTGCAGCGTGTATACGATAGTATATACTAAAAAATTATTTTCGTCCTCCCAAAAAATATTTTTTTAAGTTACCGCCCTCCCAAGATAAATTTTCTGGTTCCGCCCCTGTGCATAATTGCATACCCAAACTCTTGTAGTCTTGTTATTATATCTAGGTATCTTTGACAGGGGCGGACTCAGGAAATTCATGTTGGGGGTTCAAAATATTTTTTGGGGGCAAAAATTATTTTTTGAGGGGCGAAAATTATTTTTCTTATAAATATACACAAAAAAAAAATTGTTGGAGAGGCGGTAGCCCCCTAGATTTGTATTACGGTCCGACCCTGATCTTTGCTCAATGAAAAAAAGTATGTTTTTGAATATTCGACTGGTCCTGGGAATAAAGGTGTGCTATTAGCCTATTATGTTGTGTGTCTCTTTTAGCTAGAATTTTAGGTCTATTTAAGTTTAGATTCATTGAAATTTTGATTCATTGGTTTAAACGAGGAATTTAATGAAAGAAATTTTGGATGGAGCAAGATTGTACGACGTATGGTTTTCATGAGACGGTGATAATTAATTGTATACTATCGGTATATTAAGAACGATAATTGAGTTTGATAGCTCGATGGCTTTTTGTGTGATACTTGTAAATTGTAATAGTGTCTCTATTAAACACATAACGTTTGATTTGTATATAAAATTGTGTTATAATTAAAATAAGGGATATTACTCAAAATAGGACTGAAACAGTTTGAAAATTCCAAAATAGGACTTCCATGTTTTTATTCCCGAAATAGGACTAATTACTGTCATGTTTTGGCAGTACCAGACTTTAAACATGGCAGTATTTTCCAAGTTTGGCAGTAATTAGTCCTATTTTGGGAATAAAAACATGACAGTCCTATTTTGGAATTTTCAAACTTTTTTAGTCCTATTTCGGGAACTTTCCCTTGAAATAACCAAGCTTGAATTTACTTTTTCAGCTTAATTCGATGACATTACTATAGTAGACTATTTTAGCTATTTTTCGTATAACTTTCTCTTTAATGTATTAACAAGATATATATATATACTCTCTCTATATATATATATATAATTTTTTCATAATTAAACACAATCAATATGTCAATTCAACCATCTAACTAAAATGTTATTAATTTCATCAAATTCAGCTTATTCAAAATTTCTAAATAATGTGAGATGTAGAATCTAGACTTGAGCATGGCCAAATTTTATTTGTCAGGGTCTAGGGTAAAACTTTGTCAATGCAAGGACTTGTTATACAAAATTGTAAATTTACTTCTTTAAAGTATTTGACATAATAAAACAATTTAAGAAAGTCATTGTAAATTGTCCATAAAAGTACTCCATAAAACAATTACTTGAAAACATTTATCGTAAAACATTTTATCAAAATCTCATTCCATTTGATATCTTATGAATAATTAAAGTTTTGAAATAATGAAATGAATATCAAATTTCATATGAATCATATGCTATGTAGCACCGATACGGGTACGCGGAAACGCGGAAATGAGTACGGGGATAAGACAAAATAAAAAAAGTAGGATATGGATTCGGGGTCATATTCATAAATATTAAAAGTTATGAGAGTGTATTTATAAATATTCAAAGTTACAAGGGTGTATTTATAAATATTGAAAATGCCACTTTTTTTGAAAAAAAATAGACATATATCATTCTCTGACGTCTGCTCATTCATGGCATTGAAGCATTTTACATTTTCAAGAAACTTAAAAATAAGTTTATATTTTATCTCATAGACACTAGTGCATCTCGAAATATAAATAGTCAATAAGTCATTAATTTAAAATGATAAACAAGTCAAACAACTACAATTTTGAAATTAAAAGTATAAGCACTCAAAGTTCTAGAATAATGAAGATAGAAAACATATTTCCTTCGGAGCTATTAATTTCTAGGGATAATTAGAAATAGGGATAGGAGTATGAGTGACTTAGGAATAGGCCAATTAGTTGTATACCTCATAAAAGTAAAGTAAAAACTATTTTTAGTTTATCATTTTTAAAGAATTTTATTATGTAAATTTTGGGTGTTTTCTAAAAAAAAAAGGAAAATGGAAACTAATAATCCAACCTTTTAGCGATCTTCTTGTAATAGTCTGACCTTTTCGTTATTCATGAATAATCCAACTTTTGCACCTCATCTTCATTCACTGTGTTAGGTATTGGCCCACTTATTTTTCCCTAAGTCCAATATTGGTATGGTTGCACCAGACCCATTCTTAAGTCCATCCATTTGCACCGGCTTGTCTCTTGATCGGCTTACTCCCTCTGGTGCGATTCTTTCCTTGTTCCAGCCAGTGCTATTCTGGCATCAATCCCTTGAAGGTAAGTTGCCTTCTATAGTTTATTGCTTCGCCTATTTAAGCTATTCTCTTCCCTGTCGATTGGGCTGGCCGATACTCCTTTCACGCACCTCGTCCCTCTGCTCCTCGGTGGAGCCAAAACTGATTTGGCTAGAAATAAGGTTGAAAGCTGACGCCTAATTCCCCCTTCAGTGATTCTTAGTGTTTTATCATCCTTTGTGGATGAAGATTGAGACCTGAGCTGGAAGAGTAGCCATCTAACAGTGGTATCAGAGCCAGCCACCGCCCGCCGCCGTCTCGCCGCCGTCTGCCACCATCGGACGTCCAGCCGCCGTCGCCGGAGTTGTCCAGAGCTTCTTCCAGGAGTTCAAGGGTGCTGCTAGTTCGGTCCAGATTGCTTCCAGGAGGTTCTGCCACCGGTTCAAACCTGCTGCCGCCGTCCAGGGAGGTGCCGCCGCCGCTTCAGTCTACTGCCGCCAAGTCTACAGCAGCCCACGCTGCCTACGGTAAGTCGGGTAACCCAACCTCGGGCCCCGCTCAGGTAAATTGGCGATAAACATCCTTGGTGTACCGGAGTGCCACCGGATTTATTTTTTCCCCCCCGCTCCCCGCTGCCCGCTGCTGACCTACGTGGTCTTGGATACCGGCTGTGTCCGGCCCCTGGTACGTTTACTAATCCTTTGTGTGATTTTTATTCGTAGTTCATTCATTTTAATTTTCTAGTTGAATTGCAATTACTTGTTTGTTTGAATTGTGATTACTTGTTGGTTTGTAATTAATTTTTTCCGGTGAAGAATATTTTGTTTGGATACTCGTTGTCCAAAGTTGTGAATATTTCTTCCGGTTTAAATTTAATCACGTGTTGGATTTGATTTTGTTTTTCTGTTGTTTGATTCGTGGATAAACTCTCCCGTTAAAAATATTTGTTTGGATACTTGTTGTCCGAAGTTGGGAATATTTCTGTCCGGATTAGTTTTAAATCCAGTTTCTTTGCTTGTTGATTTAATTCTAGCCTATTTGTGCTTGTACGAAAGAACAAGGAGATTGTACCCCGAGCTTTGTGTTCATTGGTCTTCTCGGCTTGTTCGTGCTAGTTGCTTCGTACAATTGATAGCCCCATAGGTTATAATTAATCATTTATCTGTCTGTTGAGTAAATAAAAATTTTATCTTGCTTGTACGAAAGAACAAGGAGATTGTACCCGAGCCTTGTGTTCATTGGTCTTCTCGGCTTGTTCGTGCTAGTTGCTTCGTACGGTACGAAAGAACAAGGAGATTGTACCCGAGCTTTGTGTTCATTGGTCGTCTCGGCTTGTTCGTGCTAGTTGCTTCGTACTGTTATTTGCTTGATAATTTTTTATTTACTCTCTTGCGTGTTGTGCTTGCTTTCCGGTTAATATGGCTGTCAATCAATATGGCATGCTTCCATTTAACGGAAAGACAGATTTTGATATCTGGAAACAGAAAATCAAATGCGTGTTGATCCAACAGAAAGTCTATAGAGCAGTGACTGGTCTCTATTTAGACTCTGAGGATGCTGCTAAGCGCGATGAAATGAATGAAACTGCTTGTTCCTCTATATACCTGAACCTTTCTGATTCAGTACTCAGGAAGGTGGGTATTATAGATTCTGCAAAGGCTTTGTGGGACAAGTTAGATAAGACGTATACCGATACTTCTTTGCCTGGTAAATTGTTTTTGCTTGAGAAGTTCTTTAGATTTAGGCTTGACCTGTCTAAGGACATAGATGAGAACCTAGATGTGTTTAACAAGCTTATTCAGAATATTAAGCAAGCCGGTGATAAACACATAGATGACTACACACCCATAGTGTTACTTAATGCCATCCCTGACTCATACAATGACGTCAAATCTGCCATAAAGTATGGTAGAGATGATATCTCGTTGGATGTAGTCGTTAATGGATTAAGGAGTAAGGAGTTAGACCTTAGACACTCGAGGGGTAGTAACAGTCAGTCTAGGGACTCAGGTGAAGCGTTGTTTGTGAGGGGTAGGTCTAAGAGTAGATCTAGAAACCATAAGAAGGGCAACAACGATAAGAACAAAAACAATGACCCGGGGAAGAAGAGAGAGGTAAGTCTAAGAAGAGAGTGTGCTATAATTGTGGTAATTCTAGTCACTTCATTAAGGATTGTCCCCATCCGAAGAAGTCTGAACATGCTAATGTGGTAGATGATAATAACTTGCATGAAGAAGTTTTTATGATTTGTGATTCTGCCAATTCTGTGTTGAGTAGCATGACTGAAAATGAGTGGTTGATTGACTCTGGTTGTACTTATCATATGACACCTTTTAGATCCCTGTTTTCTTCTTATTATTCTTGCAATGATGGTTTTGTGTCTCTTGCTGATAATAAGAAATGCAAAATTCATGGGGTGGGTGATGTATGCTTGAAGTTTGATAATGGGACTGTGTTTACTATGAAAAATGTGAGGCATGTTCCTGATTTGCGTCATAACTTGTTTTCTGTTGCTGCTTTTGAGGGTAGTGGGTTAGAGGGTAAATGGGGTAATGGGTGCATGAAAGTTTTGAAAAATTCCCTTGTTTTGTTTAAGGCAAAAAAGGTGAATAACTTGTATGTGTGCCATGCTCAGCCTTTCTGTGATTCTGCTCATGTTGTTAGTTCTGATAAATCTGCTTTGTGGCATAATAGATTAGAACACATGAGTAATAGGGGTTTAGAGATTTTGCATAAATCTGGTTGTTTTGGTAAGGATTCTGTGTCCCCCATCCCCTTCTGTGAATCTTGTGTGTTAGGCAAGCAGCATAAGGTTACATTCCCCTCCTCCCCATATCCTAATCCTACTAAGTGTACCTCTGTGTTAGAGTATGTTCATGCTGATGTGTGGGGTCCTACTAGTGTCTCTACCCACGGGGGTAAGAGATATTTTCTGTCCATCATTGATGATTTTTCTAGGAAGGTGTGGGTCCGTCTCCTTGAGCATAAGTCCAATGTCTCTGTGAAGTTTAGGGAGTGGAAATACCTTGTAGAAAATCAAACTGGTAAGAAGGTCAAAACCCTTAGGACAGATAATGGTCTAGAGTTTTGCAATAAGGATATGGACCAACTGTGTGTTGATTGTGGGATTAGAAGGCACAAAACTGTGCCCTATACTCCCCAACAAAATGGGATAGCCGAGAGGATGAA